TAAATTAAAGATTACTGAAAATACAAGTCAATTCAAAAAAAAAAAAAAAAAAACCAACAAAATTATAAAAATATTTGATCTAAAAAAAAAATAAACGAATTTATCATGTCAAATTGAATGAGATATTAAAAGTATAAAACCCTCAGCTTAAATCTCCATAAAGTTGTTGTCAATGCTTCAATTAGAGATTTCGGTCCTTGAGAGGAAAAGAATCGATGTAAAGTCTCAACTTCAAATAATCAAAATTCATGTGTTGTAAGTAGGAGTGCTTTGGCCTCCACTTTAAGGGGATTAAATCTAATATTTTTGTTGTTTAAGCACTAACAAGGACTCTATGGGGATCTATTAGCATGACCGCTACTAGTTTTTCTTCTATTTTGGTTGCTGCATCACAGCTAATCTTCCATCCTCATCTCCTTGTTTTCGAGATTCTTCCATGGATTCGCATGTTGGACAGAAGGGATAGATTTCGCTCTATGGTGATTGCTTATGACAGAAGAGAAAAGAACGCATCGATGTTGAGTACATGATCCTCATTTCTTGTTTTATTTCTCCAATTGTAGCGCGCGTCAATTGTGACTGATGCAAACAGTTAAAGGTTTTTCTACAAGAGTTCCCAATCTGTATGTTGTGTTTGTTGTGCAATTAGATAGGAAAACCATTTCTCAATAGAAAATAGTAATGTTCTACTCTATCATTTTGGTTGTGTGACATTTAAGAAAGAAATGTGCAATTAGCTGTTCCAATCTATTAATTTTTAAATATAAAATATAAAATTTAATTTTTAATTGATTAAAAATATACATTAATTGTCTTATTAAATTTTTTATTAATTAAAAACATTTATTTTTTTTATTTTTATTTAAAAAAAAAAAACTAATTTAAAAAAGTAATATTCATACTATTTTCAGTACTCCCAAAAAATTTCTTCTCAAATCACATCCTCTACATAATAAATGCAGACTGAAATCAAGCTTCGCAGTAAAACAATAAACATCAAATCACAACACTGAACTGTCACATTAAAAAAGTAAAACATAAGAATTCAACTCTAATTAAACCAAACTGCAAAAAGTGAGATTTTTATATTAAATTTGGGGGTAAACGACAAGGTGTGTTATAATTACGAAAGTAGAAATTTGTTTCTCAACGTAAGAAACCATGATAGAAAAATGGTAAATTTCCCATTATACTCTTATGTTTATGTTCTAGTGGCTTGCGTATTCCACATTCCTAACGCAGTAAAGGCATGCATGACATTAATGACAGTATCTGATACTTGATTATGTTTTAACTTCCAAGTACACGAGTATATTATGTACCTTATTTCGAGATTCGACGAGGCCACCATACAAGCATCCACCAAGAACAGCAACTACTACACTCCCCCACCACAAAATTCGCCAACTCCAACGGCCATCTAGGGTAAAGGAAGAGCTTCCTTAAGACTCATTCAATTGAATATGCATATCCAGTTGTCAGACAGACCCAAATAATTGTGATCCGTATTACTGAGACCTTTGAACCAACTGGAACGGAACAGACACAGAAACTATTGTTACTAACTATAAATTTAGAGGAATTCAACAAATCAACCCAAAGGCTTGCCAATCCCCACTATATTTTTACATAATAAGTTGATTTTAGAGTAAAAATTGGTCAAAGCACTTGGCTTACACCCAGCTAGTAACTAACAACCCTGCAAGTACACTTCTGTAAAGACAGATCAACTGCCACCAATGAGGTGGTATTCCAACACAAGATCCTTACAACTAGCACATCTCCAGCTGTGCCTTGATAATAACCAAGCTTGGCAAGGAAGCCTCATTTCTCTGGCTTCATCTTCCTTGTTTGCTGTGAATGTCCAGGGAAGGGAAGTGCCCAACCTCCCCCACTTGCCTGCCCGTTCTGTCTGCTACCACCCACACCTGAAAAAATCAAATCAAATAATACCTTCTTTGTAAATAATTCTCATCGCACATATTGCTGTACTGAAATAATATATTTCATATCATAATCAAATCAACCATATCGACATGATGTGAGCACCATCCCTTCTTTGTACTCCCACTATAACTAGGTTTCGAGTATAGTGCATCTTTTCAGGCAAAATTCCCAATTTATCCCCCGCCCTATTATCTTAAATATAATTAATAACTGCATTAATACCAATAGGGACACCAATAACTGACGATAGTCCAGTCAATTCCTTCTTTAATGCTTTTTTGGAACTAATAATAGAATCCAAGAGGAAGTTACTTTACAGAGTGATGTAGACAAGAATACCAACTTCAATCCTTCACATGTATATATTACTTCAAAAAAAAAAAAAACCTTCACATGTATATAACAGCTAATAAAATAGAAGGTTTTGAGCTGTATAGCAAAGGAAAAGCACCAGCTGCAATTGAATATCCCAAAAACAGTTTTTGCGAAAAAGGAACTTTCATGATAGTCATTTATTTAGTTGCCCTTTTTTAACTCAAAATAATAGAAGTGAAGCATAATCACCCAGTATTATTTTTGTAAGCTACATGCAAAGTTCCTGAGAATGGGTGGAAAACAAACAATTACTCAGTTTCTATGTTGTATCATCGTCCATAGTTGGTTCAATATTGATTTCTTTGAAGTTTTGTAAATGGGTGGTGCTCCCTTAGCACCTCACATTAATACATCTTCTTTTCTTTTATTTAAAAAAAAAATATTGATTTCTTTGAAGCATTCCTTAATTAGACCAAAAATAGATTATTTCTTGACAGACAAACTTGGTATCTCAAACCAAACACTAATAGGTCTTAAATCAGCTAGCAGCAGAATCTTACCCATTCCATCAAGAGTAGTAAAACTGCCAGACCAACCAGGAAGATGCTTCCTGGCATTTCCACTCCAAGCTTCTTCAAAACCAGTTAGCTCATCTATAAAAATTCGTCCATGAACACACTTCTCAGTCAATGATCATTAAAACATCATAAGACTGGATAGCAGATGTAAAATGTCTGCATACCTTCATTTAAATTGTGCAAGGTCTGCATTGAGTCCACCCTACCATCTGAATTGAGCTTGCGCGAAATTGAATGGCCCTACAAACATATATCTCATGAGGAGAATTCTCTAGACCCCCTGAATTATGGATTCATAACTGATAAAGAGAACGAAACATGTTATGTCACTTAAACAAAAGGAACTTATGATGTACCTTGTTATGCAGGCTCTTAGAAATCCTATGAGTTGCCTGCCTAGTGGTGGTATCAGCCTCTTTGCTTTCTTCAAATGTCATCTATTCCACGACAAAGACAGCATAAGACACAGATCCACCATAAGAAAAAACCAAGTGCCCTTTACCCTTTAATATCACTTACTCCATCACTCCCAGTCCTCCTCATTTTAGAGGAAGTATAATAAGCACCATTAGCACCCCCACGAGTAATTGTGGAGCTCTGAAAAATAAAGTTATGGGCTTGAGGATGTGACTGCATCTCATTGAACCTGTTATTGCCACTTCCATGCTGCAAATGTCTACTCCTCCGCGCGGCAGCTTA